CTCAAGGGCTACCATATGGAGTACTCCTGAATCCTCAAGGGCTATTATATGAGGCACCCATAGGTCCTCAAGAGCTGGTATATGGGGGCATCCATATACCCGTAAGGGCTATTATATAGGAGTAACCATAGGTCGCAAAGGGCTACTATACAGATGGATCCATAGACCCATAAGGCTATAAGGGATTAGGGGATAAGGATATAAGGGATTAGAGGATAAGGGGATAAGGATAGAAGGGATTAGGGGATAAGAGACTAAGGCTACAGGGGAATAAGGAATAAAACTAAAAGAGTATAGGGAGATAAGGGTGTAGGGTATAAGTAGATAAGGCTGCATCGGTTATAAGGGATAAGGAAATAATGGAATTAGGGTATAAGAGGTAATGCCACGATAGTATAAGGCTACAAAGCTGTAAGAGTACTAGGGTATAAGGCTATAAGGTCTCTCTATATATATAAAGCGAACTGACTGATTGCCTATTACGCAATCAATGCTAAAGAACAGATGCGAAACGTTACAGGAAAAAAGCATCCTTACAGTATGCACAGGCTGTCTCTAGTAACAAAAATATTTTTCTATTATACACAAAAATTTTACAGTTTATCGCCCATATTCCACTGTTCCTTTAATTGTAACGGATTCCAAAGCTCAAAAACGATTTTTATTTAAATTGGTTTGTTTTTTTTCATAGGGATCTGTAACAGATTTGTGTCAAAAGTTTGGACAATAGTTTTGCGGCTCTAATGTCATTGTTATAGAACTATCTTACCAAGAAAATAAAGGCAAGAGTCGGTATTTGTCCTTTCCATTAAAGATAATTTATGTATTAATATAGCATCCAACTTTATTTTATCAAGTTCTGTTGAAAATGACATATATTATATAGATAAAAAATAGCAAAAGCTTAATGTACAGGTTTAACTGTTGAGGTATCGACGATGTTTCTCATTAAATAATCATGCTTCTTGAACAATGAGTTCCTTTATCTGATTTGCTATAGCAAATATGTTACTCTCATAATTTAATGAATCTATTACACTGCATAGAGGGACTCTTCTATAGGCTGATATAATTAGACAGTTATCGTATTAGTCACCCAAGAATTCTTTTCTCTTTGACAAAAACTTATTTGGAGATAAGATGTTATCCATAATATTTTGCGTCACAGAGAATTATTTCTGTATTGTGAGCAATGGTTTTATGTAAAAAGATCAAAAATCGATTCATTTCAGTTCTGACATACTGTTTTCCGTTATATATATATGATATAGATCAGTAATATCTTCAGTCGTGTCTCTCCTTCTTCCACTACTTTGAGAGTGTGTGCATTGTGTTGAATAAGATATATATAAAAAATGTTACCTTTTTTTATTAAACTACGAACAGTTTAACCTTTGATCATACGAATCCGAACCCGAACCCGAACCGAACCCGAGCCTGAACCCGAACTCTGGGACCGAATCCGAGCCCGAACCCGAACTTTGGGACCGAGCCCGAGCCCGAACCCAAACCCGAACCGTTCGGCCCGAACCCCGAACTATAGTTCGGGCTCGGTGCATGCCTAACTGTGACAATTAAAAAATTGAAGAAATTTTTAACTAATGAATAATTTCAAATTTTAAATAGCCGAAAAGGTTTTCCGTAAAATTCAACATATTTCGTTGCATATTTCAAAATTTTAGGAAAAATATTTGTGAGAAACAGTTTCTAAGAAAAACATACGAAAACAGAAAAGACTGTTTTTCTCATGAATCTAGATCATAGTTTCTTTTTAAGTCTTAAAATATTCTACATTTGTCACTGCTCACTATAATAACTACATGATTTTGTCGGAAAAGCGTTTAAAAATTATTAAATGTCAGTCGAAAATTACAGATCACTGTTAAATTACTGAACAGAACTTGAAATTCTCTATTTTTTAATATCTAGATGAATATGTTTAGCCAAAGGAGATGAACGAAAAAATAAATAAAAACATTTAGTACAATTCATTCTGGCCCACCAATAATTGTAACATAATTTTTGTTTCTATTTTTCAGCAGTTCTTTCAGATTGTGTTTTATATAAAAAAAAAGGAAGAGTCTGATTATGTGCTTAGCGAAAAGAATAATCACGCCCTACAAAATATTGCCAACAATATATATATATATACATCTACTTTATATGCAATTATATTCACGAAAGAGTTTAGAAAAACTTGTATTTTATTATGAGAAAATATATTCATTGTTTTTTTATTATATAGAATGTTATAGAGATGTTGATAGTGATATGCAACTTCGAAATGTGACAAGACTTGTTTTGAAATTTTGCTTACATCGTGTGATTCATATGTATTAGTGTATTTTACCTTGATTAATATTATCTTACACATAAATATTAACTGTTCGAAATATATTTGTTCAATGCATGCTTATATAAAAACTGTATGCATGAATTTTAATAAACGGTTCTTAATTGCTTTTTAAGAATAATAACTCATACCAAATGAATCTTATTATTAGGATTAGGATTTTCTTCAAGCATAATACAAAACTATTCAATGCACGCTGAGCATAGAATAAGTAACATAAAATTTTAGTTAGATCGATTCACCATATCTCACTGATTATTGCTAGTTTCATCGAATTCGTTGTACTCCATAGATTTTCTATCAATAAAAAAATAGAAGTCTTTGCCGTGAACAGAGTTCTGTAGAATCGGACTTTCTTCAATTCTATACTCTTTACTCTACAGTGATTTTCATACTCTTCTCCTATCCTACAGTAGAGGGTGTGGATGGGAGTCAAAAATAGATATTTACATTCTTAGTTTAGGTTTTCACTCAACTTAAGTGTAGATTTGGTGATACCAAAGGTTAAAATTCTTCCGCCCAGTTCACACCTACCCTTTATGATTTTCTTCTATATTGTTGATCACAAACATGCCGTTTATGATTCTCAAAGTCAACATTTATGTTCCTGACCATAGGTACGATCTTACACATAATAACTTCTACACTGTAAAGTATAAATATCGAAGTTGAGTATGACTGTTACTGACTTTTGGCATTTCCTCCATTTTAACCTACAGCTCACATGCACATTAAAATAGAATCGGAGTGTTTTCGAGATTCAAAAGTTGAAACTTAAATTGATTGTTGTTGATAAATGAGTTCTTTGATAATTCATAGTAGAATCAATTGATATTCATATTACCGTACAACGATATTGAAAGATCTTATATGTCATTTCTGAAACGGAGCATACGACTATCCATTGAAAAAGCATTTCGAAAGCTATGATTAAAAAAAACTATCGGAATCTTATCAAGAGTCGTCTCTGTCTTCATTCCAACAAGGTGTGGGTGTGTCGATGTGGTACAAGACATGATCCACACCCACACCCAAATTTCTGTTGAAATTTTAAATAAATCTTGCGAATTTCTTTTTTTGACATATTCTTTATGAAGATTTTTATTAAATTTTGTATTTTCTTTTTATGGTAAGTAAATTAGGACCACTACTCAAAAATTTGTTGCATATGTAATATTTGGTGCCATAGTATACAAAACATTTCAGTGTGATAGAAGATCTATTATAGAATATATTTTTCTGGACAATCGCAAAAGAGATTTTGAATACATGGTTCGAATCCAATCATCTTTAATTTAAAATTTTTCTTGGAGAAATGAATAAGGATCACTTTTGAGTTAGGTACAATAGAGTTCGAGGTTATATGAATGATGGACTTCTTTCAGTTTCATGGAAACCATTGACGAAGTTCCTGGTAGCCACTATTATCTGTCAGATGTTATCACTATTTGGTTCGATAGAAAAACTAAATGTGCGAAAAGTATTTTCTGATTTTTGATTTCTTGGTATTTTAATACTTTTGAATAAATTCCAAGGGGGAAACGGCGGACTTTTGGACTTGAAGTTACTTTGAGCTACTTTAAGCTACTTCAAGTTACTTTCAGCTACTTGAAGTAGCTTACTTTGAAGTACTTTTCAACTTCAAATTTACCTGAAGTTACTTGAAGTTACTTTAAGCTACTTGTTCCTACTTTGGGCTACTTGAGTGGTATTTTGAGCTACTTCAAGTAGTCTACTTTGACGTACTTTGGCCTACTTTTCTACTTCAAGTCCGCCGTTTCCCCCTTGATAAATTCCCAAAAACTAGTTCTTGATTCTATGCCACATATTTGAGCGAAAAATAAATAAAACATCGAACTATTATGACCTAAATATTCTTGACTTAATTTATTTCATTTTCAGAATCAAACGAGATTTTATTCAGAAAAAAAAAGTTCTACAATACAATTCATTTATCTTATGTTTGTGTTTGCCTAATATTTGTTTCTTGTTGCATCATCATTGTTTCCATAACAAGTCGATCTGCTTGTAAACTAGCTGCTCTTTGAATTTCTATTATAGATTTTAAATTCGTACAAAATGGAACTTGACAATTTTGATTCATACAACTTTTAGCATGATGCCAACAAAGAAAAATAACTTGTTTACATACATAACATTGACGATTTTTTTCTTTACAATCTTTTGTATGTTGTATAATACGTTTATAACAAAGACAACCACGATAAACACAATTGATCATATAACAATTAAGTGCATGTAACAAAGTATCAATACAAAATTGCATTGTTTTTTGTCGTTGTAATTGTGTACTTGCTATAGATTCATTGTTACTATTTAATAAATTTTGTTCATTATCTTGATTCATAATAATTCTTGATGATATTAAACATTCCATTTTATGTTCATGATTTAGTTGCATATTATAAAACTTTTCACATAAATCTAAATCTTCACATACTGTACAATAATAACATATATCACATTTTTGTAGGCATCTATTACAATTATATATAAATTTCTTTGTTGTTGATGTATGTAATTCATATAATAAAGCCATAGTTGAAAATTTTGCACTACGTAATGAAGAAAATTTATAATTTTTATGCCGTACAAAATTTAGAAATGCATTTGGTGTATCCATTATATTACATAGAAGAAGAGCATCAGTATCGTTGACTGTTGGATAGGATATTGTTTGATGATGAAGACGAATAACAAAGAATTCCTAAAGAATCATATTGATACAAACTGTAAGTATCAAAAATATATGCTGCTAGGCAGTGTCTTACAAAACGAAGTGTAGTACTAATAGAAATCTTTGATTACTTTTAAATTAAAGTCAGAATGAACAAAATTCATCTTCAAAAATTAAGTTTTTTTTTTTAATGATTTTACCTCTTTGTTTTTTTCCATAGTTGAAAATATTATAGATAGTAAATCAGTAGAATTTGATACTTGATTTTTCGTTTTCTTCAAAGTTTTATTTTCATATGTATTTGCAGATTTACGTTTACTAGAAATCTAAATTAAAATAAAAGAAAATAAGCAAATATTCATATTGTAGACAAAATCAAGATTTGAATAGTAATTATTCAAATTCAACAAGAGATATAGATTCATCTAATAGAATAATCTATAGATTTGTTTTTATAATTGAAAGTGCGATAGTCTATTGAACTCGATTTATATTTTATTCTAGTCATATGATTGTATGAGTTTTTATTTTTGGTAACAAAATAGATTATACTCACTTGTGTTGGATCATCGAGTTCAAAAGAATCATTGAAGTTGTCATCTTCTATAATTTGTGATGTTTCAACTTCTTGTTTTCTTCGATGTTCTTCTTGATCAAATTCTAAAATATAATTAAATAAGATTCGATTTTTATTATCAATAATAAAATATACTTTCAATAGTTTCTTCAATAATAATTGGCCATAAATCACCATCAAAATATGGAATGTCAAGAACTGTTTGTATTTGATTATTCAAGCAATCTTGCATGATATCCTAAATTAATAACATTTTAATCTTAAGTATTTTCGAGAGATTAGTAAACGATAATTCTTTGCATGCTCTCATTTTATATTTGAAAGAAGCATCTTAGTTAGCATTTATGGGAGAATGACTTTTGTTTTTGAATTCTTACTTTCTTATGTGAAGAAATCAAATGACAAGTTCAATACCATGAAAAATAGTTATCTATGTATTGTGATACTTTCTTATGTATTTTAAGACAAAAAGAAAATCAAGCTTCTCTGATAACTTCATTGAAAGAGAAATCTTTTGTTTTTGGATCAAGGTACATTAAATTAGAAAAGATTTCATATAGACTTTTCTTTTTACCTTATAATCAATAACAATACGTTCTATAATTGCTTTATCAAGCAGCTTTTTACACCAACTATGTAAGCGTTTTGAATTCGGTAAACGTTGTTCAAATGGACGACAATAAAATATATAATCAATACCTACACTTGCTGGACGAGCCCATATATGAGCATACATATATCCATGTTGTTTAGCATAATTCAAATAACCAATTAAAATTTCATGATAAACATCTTGACGATAAAGTTTCGGTTGAAAAAAATGTATTGTATCCAAACAAGATATATAAACACGACTTGTATTTGGTGCAGGACAATGTTCATCATATTCTTGTACATACATACCAAAGAAAACAACATCAATACCTTCAATTTCTTGAAAAGCAAATATAGCTTTTGTTCGATATGGATAACTATCATTTGTCATTTGATTTGGATAATATTTTTTTAATTGTGGTTTTATTTTACATATTTTATCACTAGAAGCTAATACACGAATTGTAACATGACTTTCATGACAATCTTTATCAAATAAATATTTATTAACACGTTGTTCTAATTGTGATGATAAATCAGTTACTGTTAATTTTTGTGCTATATAGCAATTTTCTTTACGTTTTATATTATATTGATATATACATGTATTACATATGAAACCTTCGGACCATATTTGATCTAAATGTAATGCACATATTTGATGCCAACGACGTGTACAAACAATACAATTAGTCATTATTTCACGTTCTTCTATATCATTTTCAGTCCGTAGAAATAATTTTTTTGATATTTCAACTAATTTTTGAGTTGGATCATCACCGACAAATATGGATTCACATTTAATTGAATGAAAACAATTAGTACAAAATGTATATTGATGACTAGATAGATTAAATCGTAATGGTTCAGGATTGTTATAATAATAATAAGAACTATAAGGTCGAATTTCACAACATTTTTGCTTTCCATAACATAACATAACTTTTGGTAAATATACATATTGATGACCACAACAATAACCTAATGTTTTTAAAACAGGATCAATAGATTCAACAAATAGTTGTGCAAGTTTTGTACACATTCTATAAATACGCAATGTTCTATGATTATAAAGCCATGCATTTTCAAACATAAGCCATGCATCATCACAAAATTCTAATGGATTTTTATATTCTCCATGTAATAATTTATTACGCATGGTTGATATATCCATAGGATGTTTAATTATCGTTGGATAATCAGGTATATTAAGTGCAACAGGATCGACCGGTTTCAAAAATGCATATGATTCTTCCGCATCGATCATTTTCTGAATAATTGGTTCAAGATGTGTACGTAAATCTTCATGTGTAAATTGTACAGGATGTTTAGATAATTGATTACTTGCTGCATCGATTTGTCCCATGGTTAGTTCTATATCATTGTTAGTCAACAATTGCGAATGAGATTCAATCATCACTGTTGTTGAAGCTGAACTAGTTGAGCAATGCAAAGAATTATGTTGCGTTGTTGCGTTTTGGATCATGGAAAATCTAGAAGCCTAAACTAAAAGACATTAATATTAGATTATTAGAACATTATTGAATAAAAAGGATATCATAGAATAGATGTGAACGAATAGAAGACCTATAGATTCTTCAAGTTGATTTGCCTACGATAGTGTTTCAATTCTAAATTGATAAACTCTGTCCGATGATGAAAATTGCATATCAATAGCATGTTTTACTAGTATGTTAGCAGACAGTAATGCATTGATTCATGAAATAGTGCACTGCTTAGATGACTAGGTTCAGTTAATTAGAGATTTCGTGGAAAAAAAACAGATGCTATTAAAAAGTAATATTCAACATTTCTGCACTTAAGTCAAACCACATAGCGAAAATTTTAAAGAACAATTTCGACTTGATTTCCTAGAAAAATTTTACTTTTTGAAATCTGCTTTGATGAAGCTAATATCAACAATTTTAATATTATCTAGAAAAGAAAAACAAATTCTTTAGTTTCATTCATGTATTTATAAAACTTAATGATACATCGTGCAATAATAAATGCAAAAAAATTAGTAAAGACCGCTTATGCCCGTCGACATGATGGTTTATAGTATCATGTATATATTTCGAGTCGTGTATTTGCTTCGTTAACACTGTTTTGTATAGCAGACTGTAATCATGCATCAGTCAACAGAAACAAAGAAATAGTGACCTCGTAATAGAACAACGACCGAAAGGTCACAAGGTCAGTTTATGAACTCAAGAATAGAGAGAAGAAGATAGCGTACATAAAGTTTACTTTAATAATAAAAATTGTTACACCCATAATTAAGATTTATGTGCATGATAAGAAAAAGTACCAAAACCTTACTCCTCAAAAGTCAAATTTTTCTTCGAAGAGAAATGGGAATAATAATCTTAATAAAATTTATTGTCGAAAAACCAATATACAGGGTGTCCCATAAGTAACAAGACAAGGAAAAAAAGTTTGAATATCTCCATTAGGGCTCGACCAAATGGGCTCAATTTTTTATCAAGGATAGAGGCATCTGCACACTCCAAATCCATACGAACAAGGTGAATGAGAACCTTTGTTAAGTATCACTATTGACCTCAACAATAAAATTTTTACTTTTTCACAGACAGGAAAATAAAAAAATATACTTAACAAAGGTCCTCACTAAGCTTGTCTGTATGGATTTGAAGTATAAGCATGCCTCTATTTTTGGTAAAAAAATCAGCTCGGTTGCTCGAGCCGTAATGGAAATATTTAATTTTCTTTTCGATAAAGTGACTTTTGCACTATCCTGTATATTGGTTTTTTCTTACCAGTGACAAAGCAAAAATTTTATTGTTGAGGTCACTAGCGATACTTAACAAAGGTTCTCATTCACCTTGTTCGTATGGATTTGGAGTGTGCAGATGCCTCTATCCTTGATAAAAAATTGAGCCCATTTGGTCGAGCCCTAATGGAGATATTTAAACTTTTTTTCCTTGTCTTGTTACTTATGGGACACCCTGTATATGTTGTAGGCAAAATTAAGATTGAGGCAAATTCAAAATTTGCCTAGCCAAAATTAGAATGTGACTGGAGATAAATTCATATAATCAAAACAAGTAAAACTGAGTAGAGTATTTGTTTTTGTTCAACAACATTTTAATCTATTCACCTATATTTTTACAACCAACTAGTTGTAAATGACATTTTGTCAAACGAAAAGCTGCCGTTTTCTTTGATACGAACATTATTTTGTAGCTTACTTGTCTTTACAATCGTAAGTTCTGTCAGTGATTGATGTGTGTACATAAAGTTTACATATTTCAATAAATTGAATATCTTTCAAATCATTCGTAACAATTTGTTTTAATTCTTTTAGACAAGTTATTTTTAAATCAATAAGATGTTCAATTGGATATTTATTTTTTAATTTACTGTATTGACAACGTCAATCAAACGTTCGGTGGTTATACATATATGGATGCATAGATTAAAATGTTTTGTCTTGAAAATTGCTTAGTTAAATGAAGAAATATTGTTGAATAAAAAAAAACAAACTATTCTACTCAGTTTTAAAAGTGTTTTGATTATGTGAATTGATCTCTAGTCGCATCTGAAATTTCTATTTTGCCTGGACAATGTCTCGTCAAAATTAAAATTCTAATTTAGCCTAAGCAAATTTTAAATTTGTCTGAGATCTCTTTTTGTCTACAACATATATCTAGGCTATAATATGATCTTCTAGATCATAGAGAGAAAAAAAATAACTATCAAATGACTCCTCATGCAGTCATAAATATAAAGATATAACGCTTTAAAACGATTCATTGTTTACTCTTATCGTTATACTAGTATTTAGAAAAACATTTAACGCACATTGAAATCAATGATGAATAGATATAACCTGCATCATCTTAATGTTACAAACAATAATAAAACAAGCAATGTTTACCAATAAATAACAAAAATCAGGTAGCATAGATTTGTAGAAAGCTAGGAGTTATACAATAGTATGGTTTTATTATTTTTTTCAAATATTTTCTAAATAATAAAAATAATTACTTGACAAGAAAATATAATTGCAATGTTGAGGAATTCATCTATTCTAAATTTAATATATTAGATATTGCGTCTTCACTATTTGAAAGGTAAAGTACAATGTGACAACTATTTCGCTAGGAAAGATATTTTTCGATTAATTAGATTTACATGACTATGAATCTATTCTTTGGAATGAAATGAAACTAAACTATTGTTGTAAGCTCTTTAACTACTGACTTTCTTCGAATCGATATTATCTGGTATCACTTATTTATTATTAAATAATGTTTTTTACTATTGCTTGTAATATTAAGCTCCAGCTTCCTCCTCAAAAAAGTCATTTTTCGAAAAAAAATGATCGAAATTGAGACAAATTCATAGAAAAATAGTCCGTTATCAGCTCTTTCATTGATGGCAAACATTTTTACCCGGCACTTCTTCTTTTCAAAACATTTGGAGGATTTTCGTCACCCCCTATTTGAAAAACAAGTTGCTTTTGCGAAAAAACGAAAATTATTTTTCGTTTTTCTCAGAATGTGGGTTCAACAACGTATCTCCAGCAGAACTCTATCACAGTCCGAGATAAAGTAAAATATTTTTTTAATAACATCTCTATCGGAACAGCGCAATCGTTAGACAGGTTTTTTGAGTTATTGAACTTTCACTTTTCCCTTAAAAAGTAAGACTTAAAACAAAAGGACCACGAAAGTCATTGTATTCTGACGTGCTTTTTCAAACAGAAAAAAAACAATAAAATTTCTCGAATGAAGACTCACAGAGAAAATGTGGAGATACTGCAGAGCTATTTTTGGCCCTTGTTCAGTATATATATCTCTTAAACATCGTGATACAGGGCTATAAATTTTATTGTAATCATGGCTCACCAGCCTCAACATATCCTGAAAGTTTCATGCAGTTTGAATGTTCCCAAACTGAGATGCATTCTTGAGAGGAAGGCTTAAAACTCGATTAGTTTCTAATACACGATCACAAACAATTGATTTTGATGCAAAAATAAGTGAATAAATTAACCCTTGTGGATGTTGTCGACCAATATCAATAAGTAAACAACGTACTAATTTATTAACTAATATTTTTGAAGAATCGGTACTGTTTGATTACCTTCAACAATAGCTTCATATACTTCTTGATATTGTCCATATTCAAACCAAAGTGTTAGTAAACGAAGAGTATTTTGTAAACACCGTTTAGTTTTTGAAAGTACAATAGATTTAAATAAACCTTTTACAGCTGGTATTGTACAAAGTATCATGGTCGCTGTTAACATTCGATAAGTATCATTGGATGCATCAAGATTTTGTCGTTGTTGATTATTATGTGATAAATCTTGTACACGTTGTTTAGGATAACCAACAGCATTATAATTGAGTACAGCATAAGCATTCCATGCTTTATAATTTGAATCATCATATGTCGAAGCATGTTTATAATTTTTCATTATTTTAGTTAATATATTATCCTCTGTCATACTAAATAATTCATGTTCCCATGTACCTATTCGTAAATATCATTTTCATATTAATTGACGAAGCCGTTGCTCATGTTGATTAGCTGTTTGAGATGATGTTGTATTTTTACTTGTTACAAAGAATGAGGGTGGGTGTGGATGTGGGGTGGGTGTGGGTGTGGGTGTGTGGGTGTGGGTGAGTGTGGGTGTGGGTGTAAATCTTTCCTTCATTCAAACCCACACCCACCCACACCCACACCCACACCCACACACCCACACCCACATCCACACTCACACCCACCCACACCCACACCTCACACACCCACACCCTCAAGTTAGCAAAAATCTAATAAAACGTCGCCTGCATTTTCTGTCTCTATGCTCAGGAATTTTCTTTTATGATGTGAAAAGCATCCTGAAAGATGCATACTGAACCCATAAGGTTCCTCAAAAAATATAGGAATGAGATTTGATATTTGTTGTTCAAAGAAAATTTTATTACTTAAACCCTCGTCCAGTATTCATATAAATCCTCGACGGATTGAAATTCCATAGTACGTTTTCTCTATAGTCCTTCAAAGATTCTACATTCGAAAATCTGAATAAAGTCTTCAAATCCCAATGTTTTCCTATCGAAGGCTTGAATTTAATTAGCCTTGGTGTTTCTCGAAAAATCTTGTTACAGTAATCTTCAGGTACAGTTCTCATTCAGAAAGAAGATTCCACTTTTTAGTATCTAAAAAAACTTGGCAACAAGTAGAGCTTACATAGATATAAGAATCGTTATGAAGTTTCCGTTTTTATAAAAAAACAAGGAAAAATTTTTGAATTTGTATTATTTATTCTTGAGATCATCGTGACAAGACCCATGACATGCTAGCTCAAAGAAGAATTTTCAGAAGAAGTGCCTTATGAAGTTTATAGCAAGACTCTGATAGAATGAAAGAT